AGCCACGCACAATCCTGGCCCCTGTCATTCCCCCCGCTAACCCCTCCCCCCACGCCCCCCACCCCCCTACCCCCTCCCCCCTTGTGTCGTGCCAGTCTTGATAGACGCTCGCTGGCAGCAACTCTCCCTGGCAGTCTGCAAAGCTAAATGGGAGTGCCTGTGTGTGTGTCTGTGTGTGTGTGTGTCTGTGTGTGTGTGTGCCTGTGTGTGTGTGCCTGTGTGTGTGTGTGCCTGTGTGTGTGTGTGTGCCTGTGTGTGTGCCTGTGTGTGTGTGTCTATGTGTGTGTGCCTGTGTGTGTGTGTGTGTGCCTGTGTGTGTGTTGAGTGTGGGTGGAGAGGTGGCGCAGTTGTTAGCGCGTTTTGCTCGACGAACCCGGCGACCCGAGTTTTCCGATTACCAACTCACGGCCAACGCCAGTGACGATTATCTGAACTGGTCCTGGGCCTCCCCTAGGTCGACTCGGCCTCAAATGACAAAGGCGGCCGGGTGTGGTGCTGGCCACCCATCCCCTCGCGTGCCTTTCTGGCCTTCATAGGTGCTCGCTAACAGCACTTGCCTCCAACATTCTGTTGAGGCTGTGTGTTGAGTGTCACCTTTGTTACTGCGTTTGCTGTGGTTCTTGAGTGGCGGGAACAGGAGATGCCAATTTGTTTTAGCGTGAGAACCGCTGCATGGCCGAGTCTCAGGCAATGACGAAAAAAACTCTCCATCCACAGAGATAGATGAGTGTCGGGGGGGGGGGGGGGGAGCGGTGAAAGGTGCGTTACGGTGGCAAGATGTCAACTGCCTCTCCTGGTATGCAGGAGGGGGCGTGGGTTCGACCCCGACCATGACGCCTGCTGCATATTTGGGGTGTCTCTTTCCCCGTGGTCGCGTGGATTTTTCTCCGGGTCCTCCGGTTTTTCCCTCCACATTTAGATACGTGCGTGCGGAGTATGTGGCCGCGATACATTTCCACGCTATAAGCCACTTCATTTGGGCTATCATTTGTGGGCAGGTCGCTTCTGAAAAAAGAGCTATAGAGCTCAGTGGGCCTTAGCTGGTAAAATAAAATATAGTTTCATATTCTTGGTTATATCCCTTCTACGTGACTTTACCGAAAGAACCAAGAATGTGAATCCCTGCAGTCATGAAAGCTTTAAATAGAAAAATATAGTTTGGCTAAGTTTTAGAATCTCAGTTTCTCGGGTTCTGCCGGAGGAATTTTTTGACTTGGTGCAACAGACGTAATGAATGAAGAAAAACACGCACGTGAGAAAGGTAAAAGTAAAGGCGCTGTCCTGCAATTGCTTGCTCGTGCCATTGCTGGCAGAAGGGCCTCCGCTCAAGGGAGTTCACTGGGTAACACCTCTCGATGATGCTGCGGAAGACCCTGATTTCGTCAAGGAGCATAAACCATCATCACGCGAACTCCGGTCATCCTCGCTAGATGAGGCTTTTGGTTAACCGTCGAACAAAGACGGTCACCGCATCGCGCACTTTCAGATGCGCTTCTGCGGCCGTCTGGAACGCTCTTCCTTCCGATATTAGGAAGCCACTGGAGCTATGCACTTTTAAATCATCATGTAGATTGAAAATGAATTTCTTCACAACTGCTTTTTGTGTTTAGTTTGTTGTCCTTTTCCCGCACCTCCGATTAGTACGGTTGGCTACGTACGGCGCGAAAAAAGTTATATATTCATACATACAGGCATGATTCTTTGCAAAAGGTTTCTATTTGGTGTTTTAACATCTTAACACCTGTTTTATTGGCAAAACGGGTAAAACCTCATCTTTGATACTGGCAAAAAATGCCAATTTTTTTAAAAGTACACCCTTGTTCAGACGTCTTAAAAATTAGCAGTAGCCACACTTTACCCCACCACAGGCGATCTGCTGATCGACTGACATCAGTGTGCACGTGTTTATACTGCCGGGTGAACAGGTGTGGGGGGGGCGATTGAAAAAACTTGCATCGTCGTTTGACCGAGCGACCTCTGGATCATCGCGGGGCCAGTGCACCGAGCGTCCACGCAACGACAGCGTTCCTCGTGCGTTGCGCGTATAAATGTGCACGCGTGTAATGTATCCAATCAATGTTTCATTGTTTCTACAAAAAATCTCCACAGGTACGGCATTTTAATTTCCCCCGATCAATCGCGACGTGGAATCTGCTCATTGCAATCGATAGGGCACAGGGAATGAATAGGGAATAGTGGCGGTATGATATATTTTTTATCAGTTTGCACGAAGATTGACACTCGTGTACTACAGCCACCCCCCGATGACTCCGCGTGAATAATCGATGGGGTAAGACGGAGAGCGTTTCTCATTTCGTTGCAATTGCCGCTGTGATTTAGACCTAACATGCTCCCTCCTTCTCTCCCTCCTTCCCCTCCCTGTGTTTTCTCCTCCACAGCTGATCAGAATACGCCCGAAGGCAAGGTACGGTCTGCGTCTCTTGTTTGTGCTTTTTTATTTCACTTAGGCCTTTTGGTAATTAAACGAGCGAATGGCCAGCAGAATACGGTAGCGTTCTGCTGAGTGACAGAGGAGCGTGATGATATGTGGGAACGAAATGGGCGCGCAAAAGCTAAGCATGAACAGGGAGGTGAAGAGGGGAGCAGGGATAGGATTGCGATGTGAGAAATGAATAGGGGCGTTCTCGCTCGTTTTTAATCACGCGGCAGTTTGCTTTGCGTTATTAAAAATAAGATCGTGATTCGTTTCTTTTTTTCCTCATTTATTTTTGCGGCATCTGGAATACGCGGGGAAAAAAAAATCTGCATTTAGACGAAGCTCTTAATTAAACGCGCAGATGTTCGGCTGGGGTATGACATTATTTTTTGTGTTTCTTATTTATTTCTCGTTTGGTACATTATTTACGATCCACCGGATCTCGCCAGGCTAGCAGCGAAGTGGTCTGCTCACTTCGAAACCGATCGTGCGTGGAGGCAAAGCATAAAAAAGTTAAATTCACACAGTGCTGTGGCCAGGCCCCATGTGGAATCATTCCCATGGCGATCCGTCCGTTGTCAAGAGTGCGTTAAACACACTCGTGGCAGTCGTTGCAGGCTGCCACGAATTCCAAAATAAATACAAATTCCGCAACTACTTTGGGTTTTGCTAGAATTAGATTGAGACGTTATTCTGGCTCTTGTCGAACATTTTTTTATTTTAGCACGTGTGGGCTTGTGGTAAAAACCCTCCTCCACCCGACACGGCCAATGAAGAAAGTTGTCGCGTGATGGACAAACGTGTCAATTTATTACCGCTTCAGCAGCACCACCGGCATTGTCGGAGAGCAATCCACGCACGTTTGACAATTGGTTCCAACATTTTGCCGATAGTTATACAACCAGCAGCATCAGGGAGTTGCCAAATATCAAGAAACTGTTGCGTCTGTTAAGAATACCCACACGCGCCTTATTCTCCGGATTAATTATAAGATGTTCGGGAATGTTAGACACATACCACCCCCCCCTGAAGCTTATGCCCAGTGTACCAATACAGTTGTCGACCTGGTCTGACTGATTCGCTCGCCGTTGCTGCCAGAAAAACATTTTAAGCAAAAATATTAAATATCCCACAAATGAAGCGTCAAAACATAGTCCTGAGGGGGACGAACAACACAAGTAAATTATGAATGTCTCTGGTCACGATTTAGATATGAAATAAATATGAAAGGCTATACGAAAATAAACACACGTCAAAATATTTACACCGTCTCTACTATTCCCCCCCCCCCCCCCCCCCACGTAACGTCCAAGCCAAGTTAAACGGTGACATTTCGACCGCTTGATCCGGGCGGTGAACGCGTTCACGGTCGAGAGCACGGCGGCATTCGTCTGAAACGTGAAACGCATCGACCGAGTGATGTTAATTAGGCGCGTAACGAGCGCTTGATTTCGCATGGAATGTTTTCTAGGGGCTCCACAACCATTCCAGACCCCACCCCCCCCAATGCCCCTCCCCCCTACACCCCACAACCACCGCCATCCCTTTTCCACCGACAGCATTATGAGGGAGGGTAAATATTTTCTTGAGCTCAGCCCAGGACAGCTCCGGCTGTAATTTAGCCCGGTATGTAACGACTCACCTCCCCCCCCCCCACTCCCCAGTTACGTGATGATCCCGTTGTGATTCAAGAACTCTCTTCCTCTCGTTTTCACTGTCTCATTTTGTATGTTTCTCGTTTCTTCCATCTCATTTTTATAGGTTTGTTCGCTCCTACAGCCTAAATGCCCCATCGGCGCATCGTTTAATTTGAATATATTGTAAACGTTCTATTCTCGCATGCATGCTCCCATTGCATGCATTGAAATAACAAGTTAAACTACCAAGGGATAAGAATCTACAGCCCTTCATCAGTCCACTGCTGGATGGAGACCTGCCCACGGCTTTCGATCGTGGGGGTTGTTTGACCATACTTCACCACGTTGATCAGTGCAGCTTTGTGAAGGAGGGGGCAGGGGGGGCGCGCAGGTCCGGTACAGATGTAGATCATCAATGGTGGATAGCCATGGCCGGGAATTAAACTTAGATCCATCGCGCAGTGCGCTAGCCACTGCACCACCGTCCCAACCCCATGCATTAATGTGACCCTTGTATAATATAACGTGCAACACATACACAAATCGAAGCCAATCGAACGATTCAAAGTGACCCGTGCGACGGTGGGAACTTCATTTTCATTCTGCACGACAAAAGCTGTCCCACTCAGTTTTTTGTCCGCTCTGAATTGACGATGGGGCTGAATAGGATCTCCTGATTCCTGCGATTTCCGATCGCGGGTCAATCGCTCTGACGGCAGCGGGCGCCGACGTTCCCTCTCGTCCCGTGAATCCGTGCGCAGCCCGAGGCGGCCGCGCGTAGGCCCGGCGAGAACGCGACCTCCGATTCCCCGCCGCCGCCTCTGCCACCGCACGATTCGTTGCGGCCGCCTCACCGGCCGCCCCGCGAATCTTCCCGGTCGGGCATCGCCCGCCGGCCGTCCCACGACTCGGCCGATCCGGGGAGTCCGTGGTCTCTGGGCGGCCACGGGGGACAGGGCGCACCGGCCGGCACCACACCCCGCTCGCTGCGGCGCGACGCCGAGGGCCGGGGGTCGGCCACTGCGTCGCTTCGCGGCCGGAGCAGCGGAGAGGGCTCGGTGAGTGTGCGGGCCGTGCGGCCGCTTTGGCGTCGCCTGCGTCGTTGTGGTGCGTGAACTGGTGGGGAAGCGGCGGTGGGGCGGTTGGTGTGCTGCACGACGAACCCGGCGACCCAAGTTCGGTTCCTGCTGGCCAGTGACGATTATCTGAACCGGTCTCTGGGCTTCCCCTGGGTCAACTCAGCCTTGAATGAGTACCTGGTGTGATGTGCAAACGTCGCCACAATGGAGACAAAGGTGGCCGGGCGTGGTGCCGGCCTTCATAGTTTCTCGCTAACAGCACTTACCCCAAAAGCATATTCTGGCTATATGGGGGATCGTTGTCTTTGTTTTGTCTGTGTTGGTGCATGAGGGCTTTGCACTGCTGCCCACCCACATTTGATTGTCAGTCATGGAAAATACCAGCGTGAGTGGAATATGGAGCCTCCTTTGATCCTCATCTAGGTCAAAGAAGTTCAACATACATACACGCAACTCATCCTTAAACGAGTTACTGGCAACGGTGTGCAGGCATCAGCGGTGGCGGAGGTGAAGGAGGTGCGGCACTGGCCACACCGAGCCTCTCATTTGCCATGCGCTCACTAACAACACTTGCCCCAGTAGTCCTTATTAGGGAGGGGGGTGTGGGGTCCGCGTGGGTTGATTTACATTCACGTGTAACCTTTATGCACAACCAGGTGAGATCCCGTTGAGAAAACATTGCTTATTGTCCGGGGAGACCTGTGAGGTGTAAGGAATACAAAGTGGAGCACACCGAGACGAGAATCAAAACACGAGCGTGTGACGCAGTTCATATCCGGACTTGATTCGGGATCTCGTGCGTGAGAGGGTGAGCGTGAGAGAGTGAGCGTGAGAGGGTGAGCGTGAGAGAGTGACTGTAAGAGGGTGAGCGTGAGAGAGTGAGCGTGAGGGAGTGAGCGTGAGAGGGTGAGCATGAGAGGGTGAGCGTGAGAGAGTGAGCGTCAGAGTGGTGGTGTGGCGGTTAGCGCATTGCACTGCCAACCCGGAGATCCGGGTTCGATTCCCGCTCACGGCCAGCACCAGTGATGATTATTTGAACCGGTACTTGGCCTCCCCTAGTTCGACTCGGCCTGAAATGAGTACCTGGTGCGATGTGTATAAACATCGCCACTCGGGAGACAAAGGCGGCCGGGCGTGGTGCTGGCCACCCATCCCCTCGTGTGCCGTGTCGACCTTTATAGGTGCTCGCTAACAGCACTTACCCCAACAGTCTGTTAAGGCTATACGGGGAATCTTTGTGAGTTTGACTGCGAGCGTTTGACTGCAAGCGTGACATCATCAGTAATTGTTGGGGTATCTATAAATGAATCATCCAGAGGTGGTGATGATGATGACGATGATGATGATTATCATGTGAAGGATGTGCTAATGGTGTTGATGATGATCATGGAGTTGATGGAGTTAGTGATCACGATGGAAACAATGCCAGTGGTAATGATAGAAGTCAGGATGTGGTGGGTGTGGCGATGGTGATGATGTGGTGTTGATGATGATGGAAACAATGCCAGTGGTAATGATAGAAGTCAGGATGTGGTGGATGTGGCGATGATGATGGGAACAATGGCATTGACGACGACGATGATGATGGGGCTGATTTGATCACCTTCGGGAGCCACGACGCTCTACCCCCCCCCCCCCCCCCCCCACTGTTCCATGGCGAGTGAGAGACCAAAGGAGAACGCAGGAGCGCGTCGAATAGGGGTTCATAAACACGAACAATTTGAGGAAGGGGAGTGGGAAAAAAAATCTATTTAAAGATCGAGTGGTTTATGGCTTTCTCAAGGGCATAAATAAAATGCCGCCGTGTACTGGAAATGGTGCGTCAGCCGCGTGACGTGAAGGAGGGGACGCGGAGAAATACAATCGTGTTCCGGCAAATTGCTTACATATCTGGAAGTCTGTTTGGAAATATGGAATTTGGTCACACAAAATTAATATCATTTGCGGAGGAGGGGGTGGGGGGGCAGGGGCACCTGTGCTACTGGCACAGCGCGCGCCGCGCGTGGAATTTTAACGCTTTCCAACTTGGGTTTCTACTGAGGTTTGACCCATTAATGCATTGACTCCCGTCGATCTGTCGTTGGTCTGTAACTATTGGCGGGTGGTGGGGGGGGGCACAGTAATATTAATATGCATATTCTTTGGGTCTTTCGGTAAAGTCACGTAGATAGGTTCAAAGAAATTACGAAGAAACTACGACGTTCCGATCGCGACACAAGCGGTCGTCATCAGGTGGAGAAAAAAGGAGGGGTTAGCCTCTAAAGGCCAAGTGTCAGAATGGTGTGGGCAGGGCACGATATAAATATGGGTTGCTTTTAGCGACTTGCCCCATCGAAGACGAGTGAGATCGATCAGAGGATTGTGAAAAGTGAGGAACAAAAAAACGACGCTCATGGCGTGTACCTCTCGGGTCAAGGCGCACGCACGCACGCGACTTCCCTCCCCTTCTCGGTGACGTCATTGCGCGCGACATCATTTCGCAACATTTACCACGCGGCGGGACGTCATCTTGGCCTGAATCGTTATGTTCGCATCGCCAATTATATGTACCTTGGAGGACAAACCCATGTTGGAGAGCGTTGCAGAATCTGTGCACGTGCACGAGTTTTCTTCCTTGTTTTATCTCATTCCTGGACCTGTCCCCGTAAACATTTGACGCTTAAGCCTTTCCTGTTTGGAGACATCTGCCAGTTGCAGGGTGGGGATTCCGTTCACCACTGAATCTCGGAACGCAGCGTTAGTAGCGTCATTGTTTTCAAAGACATTGTACTCACCGCAGAGAACCGTAGCGACACGACCGCACTCTATAATAGCTGGCGCCCAACTGTGCCACACGCCCTCACGCATGGCCTTGTGGGAGCCTCGCTGCATCTTCCGACGTGAAGACGTACCGATGACGTACGTGTACGCCATGTACATCGTCGGCACGGAATCGGAAGAAAAACCGATGACGTACGCGGACGTACATGTACGTCATCGGAATGAGAAAGGGTTAAACGTGTCAATACTAAATAAAAATTGGGCAAGAACACCTTAATGGCTTCATATATAAAGGACCACAGAAATTGGGGGTGGTAGAATATGACGGCGCTCGTCTTTAGTTTATCCTCGCGCCTCCGAGTCGTTCTCTCGCGGCGGCGGCATTGCGAGTTGACGTCATCCTCAGCATCTTCAAACCGCGAGCGCAATTAAGGATAAAGGTTTGTATTTACATGGCACTTTCTTAAATGCCTCAACAACACAAAGCAACTTTGATCACACCTGATCTCAACCGTTTCAATTACCCCTGCTGCGCCCTGAACCCAGGGGATTCCAGTGGCAGCTGTCCCTGTGCAGAACAATGTGTGTGCTCCGCCAGCCTGCAGTTCGCCTGTAGGCTGCAGCTTGCCATCTCGTGTTGCGTGTTTGATGCGAGCTTTGGATTAATTGAAGCTGGCATCGGTCGGTTTCTTATGTCACCCGGTAATTGTGCAGGGAGTTGACAGAGCTCTCCTTCTGTTGCAACAATTAGAATAATGATAATTACTTATTTACCTAGACTGCCGCACGAAGGCCGAAGGCTTTTATAACGTACAAACGCCAGGCAAAAAAGGCACCCGAGTTAGGGACAGAGGTCGCAAACGGGTTTTGATTCCTTACCCGTACCCGTACCCGGCCGCACCAGGGCCGCAAACGGGTACCCATACCCATACCCGGCCGGGTATGGGTACCCGTACGCTACCCGTACCCATACCCTACCCGAAATGAGTGACAAACGGTTACTCACCGGTGACTCACGGCCTACCCGTACCCGGCCGCACCAGGGTCGCAAACGGGTACCCGTACCCGTACCCGGCCGGGTACGGGTAGTCGGGTATCGGGTAGGGTACGGGTATCGGGTACCCGGTTGCGACCTCTGGTTAGGGATCAAACCCAGGACCTTCTGGCTGCGAGGAGCAAACGTGTTACCGCTGCTCGAAAAGTGGACATTAAAAGGTCAGTGGCATCGTTGCCACCCAAGTCAACATTTGCCCAGTGGGAGGTCGCTCATTCTCCTCTTGCCCCCCAAGGTTTGGAACTCCCTTCCCTGCCACCCGTGCCGTTGGCTCCTCCTTGCCCCTCCGTTCAAATCCACGCTCATGACGAATTTTTTTGCCCCTCCCGGTAATTGACCACCTTTGTCTTGAGAAAATAAAATCGGCCCACCGTTTATGTACGCCGTCCATGCAGTGCGGTCGCATTTGGAGGCTATTTAAATCCACGCCGCGATAACGCGAGGTATCATTAGCACGGCTCTGAGCCCACTGCTTGTGCCAAAGTCACAGCTCGGATGAGAAAATTACCCTGTAACCAAATTGGAAAAGAAATTAATTACCGGTACCTACACAGCTGCAGTTAAACATGCCTCCTTTGTGCAAGTGAGATAACAAGCTCTTTCTTGGTTAAATAAAAGGGCATTGTAGACGCATCGGCGCACTCCGAGGCTTGTGTGTTAATGCCCACCATAAAAAAGAGGGGGGGGAGTGATGTGTGCTTACAGACCGTTCCACAAATTAGACAACCTCACAGTCAACATTGTAATATCATCCTTACACAACACACGTGGTGCAATTTTGAAAGTAAATATGGCTTTTTGACATGTATTTTTGATTATGGAGTAAATCGGTGGTTTGACACACACCGACAAAATTCCCCCCCTCCCAGCCCCCTAATAAGCCTTGTATGTTGAACTTTTTTCGCACCATACGTAGCCAACCGTGCTTTGACAGACTGCTGGGGCAAGTGCTGTCAGCGAGCACCTACCAAGGTCGCCAAGGCACCAATTACTTATTGAAGGCTGAGTCAACCTAAGGGGAGGTCCAGCACCCGATTTAGATATTTGTCACTCATATTAGTTAGTCATGAGCGAGAATGGAACTCATTTTAGGCTGAGTCGACCTCGGCGAGGCCCAATACCGATTCAGATAATTGTCATTGGTGTTGGCCATGCACGAACTCGTGTCCCCGGGTTCGTAGCGCGGCGCGCTAACCACTGCGTCACCGCTTCACACACGCGTACGTGGACGCGCGCAAACAAACGAAAGAGTACGCGTGTCAAAATCCCAGCGTGGAGAAGTCGCTTGTCCCAGCACGTCCCCACACAGCAGTATGTTACGAAGCACGTCTCACTTATGAAGAAAGGTGGACAAATTATTATTACGTCTGTCTGTGTTACAGTCCTAATTGGTTGATGTACTATACCCAGCTAAAGGCCACTCTACCATCACACTAATAATAAACCCACTTCTGTAAAGTGTCTGAAATGTTACTGTCTTTAATAAAAACATTTTCTTTTTGCGCTAACGGTGCCTGTCCCCTGCGGTTCCCAGGCCAAACCCGGCTGGAATCACCGCGGTAAAACATTTTTTGTTTACGTTCGTTTCAGAGCGAGGAAACAGCGGCGGCGGCGGCAGGGGTGACCTCGGCGATGACCCCTCATGCTGATGAGGTTGCCTCCCGGGCCCCACTGGGCTCCATCGATGTCGGACGCTGTCAGGGTTTCACGACAGCGCAGGTATCCCTCCACCACTGCCCCCCCCCCCGCCCCCCCCCCACCACTGTCTCTCCGCATCGTCCGGGGACATTCGCGACGTTCGAGCGTCGTCGTGACAAGTAAATGGGTTCACGGTCTCGGATCACGAACGACGCCTGCTGCGAGGGTGGAATGCGAGGGTGAGAGCGCGCGGAGTGAGATGGTTAGAGGGATGATTTATGTTCTGTTTATTAAATGTGTGAATAATGGGTCTTCCGTCAAACAGAATTAAAAGTTAAAGGACCGTGTTGGCAGTCGTGCACAAGTACGAATTAAAACACCGCTCGCCCCATTCATCATTGACACCGCCTCCAAACGGAAAACGTAAATAGAAGGGGTGGACATTTTGGCATGGGGGAGTGCCCTGGTGGCGCGGTTAGGGCACTGTGCTCTGCAACCGGCCACCTTAATTTTCGATTCCCATCCACGGGTGACATCGGGGGCGAGTAACGTCTGGAACCAGTCCTTGGGCCTCTTTTCGCCGACCTGCAGAGCGATGGATTGCCTCTTAGTTGGCGACAAAAGGTTCCCGTTGTGAGATCTTCAGGAAACTGGGATTTCTAATAGGACACCTGGACTACGAAACAAACTGGTTTAATGTCAAAATGCAATGCCTAACACGCTTTGAAAATGTTGTTGCGGTGTATCTGTTGTTTTGTAGTGTCCGGCCGAGCCCACTGTTCCCTCCCCGGCAAAGAGAGATGCCGCTTCTGAAAGACGACGCCGAGGGCCTGCGAGAGATTCTGGGTTCGAACCACGGCGATGCGGCAGCCAGCCCGGGGCCCACGCTGAGGCCTCTCTTAAGTCCCAGGTGCCGCCGCTCTCTGAGTCTGGCATACAACAACAAAGGCATTGACTCGGATCAGGTCGCCATCACAGAGTCGTCGGGGGAAGACCTCGAGGACGACGATGATGATGATGATGATGAAGACAACGACGATGGCGACGATGAAGAATTCGGAGTCGAAGTGGAAACGGCTGCTGTTGATTGGCCGGATCGGTATCCTACCGCGGACGTTTCTGCGCGTAAACTGAGCGAGACGCGTGATGTCTCGACGCTTGGCTCGCCGAACTCTCGCCTAGAAGGTGACGCTGGAAAACGCGGCCGGGATTCCGCGCCGCCCCCTAATACGCCGCCCTACGAGCGAGCCAGCACCGCCACCACCACCGCGACAGCGGAAGGGAAGGAGGCGTTTGCGACGCCGACCTCGACCAACCCGAGCAGCGCCAGCAGCCGACGGAGCAGCACCGAGGAGGGGGACGAGACGGTGGCGGAGCTGTGCCACTCGCCACTCTCGCCGCGCTCGCCCGCCAAAGTCCTGGCCAACGCCGCCGGACGGCCGAAACGCGGGGCCCGTGCCGACGACGCCGCCGATCGCGTCTCTTGGAACCTGCCCGACGCGACGGAACTCAACGGGTTTCCCTGCCCTCTCCCCGTGCCCATGGATCGCCCAAGTGAACCCTTCGGTCCTCACGCCAACGGCTATGGCATCATCGAGGAGGAAGTCGAAGAGTTTTTGAAGGACTGCGGCGGCGACGACAGTTTTGGCGAGGAGTTTGACGTGAAACAGGCTTGCGGCGAACCTCGGCCGCTTCTGCCGCACCTCCTGAACCAAAACGGTGGCGGCAATGGGGTGACTTCGACCGAATCGGAATGGTGGCACGATTTCAACGGCGACGTTGGCGACGGCGACGGCGTCGGCGACGGCGTCGGCGACACGCTCGCGAGAGCGACTTCCCGCGGGCAGACGCTGCAACTGAGCCGAGCCTCTTCGCTGTCCAAGAAGGACAGGCAGCTGATCGAGAAGATCAAGAACTACTACGACCGGGAGGGCTGCGAGGACGTGCGGGGGGGGGCCGCCCCGGTCAAGCGGCGAGAGAGCCTCGCGCACATCCCCCAGGGGAAGGTCCGGAACTCCATCTTCGTGCGGGCCCAGCAGCTGCAGAAAATCAAACAGGGGGAGGAGAACGGCGCCGGGCCGGCACCGGCACCGGCGGGATCGTTCGGCTTCCCCGCCGACGTTCCGGACGAGGCCTCGGGCGCGGTGCGGGGAGGCGCTCGCGCAGTGGGGAAGACGCCGTCGCCGAGCCGCCCCGGGGCGGAGGCGTTCGACGTGGACGACGTCCAGGCGGTGTACGACAACTGGGTCTGGCCGTCGGGCAGCGTCTACGACAACCTGCTCTGCCTGGGCTCCTCCGGCGCCCTGCCACCGCTCCCCACCCTGCAGGAGAAGCCCTCCGAGGGGGAGGAAGAGAATGTTTACGGGGAGGTGGACCTGGACGCCGCGTTTCCTTCGGAAGCCGCGCAGCACAATGGCGACGCGGCGAGCCCCCGGCGGCGGCCGTCGGCGATAAATCAAGGCGGCGGCGGCGGCACGCTTCCTCCGTACGACGGGCACGGGGCCCACCCGACCGACTGCAGCAAGAACCTGGACGACCTGTGCGACGACCTGGAGAGCTACTACAGGGACCACGGCAAGGTCGCCTCGAGCCTGGCCGCCTTCCCCGTGGCCGAGCAGGACCTGGAGAGCCCCCCGCGGAGTCTCAGCGCGGGCGACATCGGCCCGTCGCTCGCTGAGTCGCCGGCCGCCGCCCACGAGGCGGACGGCGGGGGCGGCGCGTCGTTCGCCAAGGCTGTGGCGCAAGAAGCTGGGCCGCTTGAGCGGCTCGGGCGGAGGGGGCGGCGGATCCGGGAAGGGAACGGCGGCGGCGGCGGGGGAGGCCTCGCGGGGGCCGCTGGGCCGCTCGCTCTGCTCCAGCGCGGAGGTGATCTCCGAGGAGGGGGAGCGGCGGCGCAGCGGCGGGGCTGGCTCGCCGGCGCGGCGCGCGCGGTCCATGTACGACGTGGACAGTCCGCCGACAACGCCGATGGCGGCGGCGGTGGCGAGGCTCTCCGCCGACAAAAGCAAGAGCAGGGTAGGTGGCTCGGCGCGATGCGTACCCCCCCCACCCCCTCCCCTCCGCACCCCTCCCCCCCACTCTGCCCCCCGCCCCCCACAGTGTAACCCGCAGCTCACCCACACTCAGGGGCAGAGTCGACATCTTCGCTGTTCTCCTGCCCCCAGGCCCCCCAGGCCCCCCAGGTGTGTCCTTTGTAAAAGGACAAACCTGGGGGGCAGCCCCTGCAATTGCTTTTTCCACTCCACTGCTGGCGGAAGAGCCTCCGCTCGGGAAGGTTATCGAGACCCCCCCCCCCCCCCCCGAGAGGATATTTTTCCCTCCCTTTCCACGGTAGTCGGACATCTCCGAAAGGGGTGCGATTACCCACACTTTAGCCCCATCACGTGCGATCTGCAGATTGTTTAACCGTGCCGCGGCCATTTATAAGCGCTGGGTGGACAGAGAGACATGGGGCAATGGGGGGGGTGGGGGGGTGAAGGGGGGGGTGATTTTGCTCTTTGTTTCAATTTCCGCTCCGGGAGATGGAACTGGTCCGGCAACCTCTCACCGGTTTTGTTGCAAGTCCAGGGCGCCAAGCCGTTACATCGTCTCGCGCCGAATTTGCCGTGATGTGCCAAAATAGTGAATAAATTAATCACGTGCGCGGTTGTTCGCCTTTCAGAGAAGAGGGGCGTTTTAGCGTTGATTGTGTGAAGTTGTGGAGTGGGGGGGGGGGGGGGGTGGTGGGGGGGGGGGCGATTGCGGTCGTGCCGCTTCCACCGCGATGCTTTGCTCATTTTCGTCTCTCGGCAGTCGCCGCAGCTGCCTCTGTCAGAGCCCCCCCCCCCCCTAACTCCCGGCCCTCCACCCGGCTTGCAATAAAAACAAAACCACGACTGTTAGCCACAACGCAGCCACCTGAGCGTCCGTCCGTGGAGACAGTTTGACGCCGTAATGAGTCGCAGGTGGCCGGCGGCTGCCGTGCGATCGGATTGAAAAGCAGGACTGCAGAGAAAGCTCCGTGCTTATGATATAAAAAAATTATTATAATTTACTCCGCTCGTGGGGTGCGGGAGAGCCGCGACCCCATTCGCCTCGCACGGCGCAAGCCGACGGCTCGAATGCGAACGGCGAGGAGGAAGCCGTCTCGTTCGATGCACCACGGGGATGCACCGCGGGGGATGTACCACGGGTAGGCACCACGGGGGACCCACCACGGGTCCGACCAAGCGAAACACAGCGGGAACTAATTTAGCCCCGGCTTCCGTGGATTTAAAATTGAATCTCGCTCGACCAACACCCCTCCGGGGGGGGGCTGTCCGCGCGTGTCCGTGGCTCGGCCGCGCGTGTCCGACCGCGCTCCCCTGCGTGGCCGTCTCTCTCCGCCGCTGTTTGGCGGCACGTGTCGCCGCTTCTCGCTTCTCCCCTGGTGCGAGCGCCTTTCTCTCTCCCCGGTCCATGTCCACATGTGTTCCCTACGCGGACCGCGCGTGCGCGATTCTCTTGGCTCCCCCCGTGTGTTCGACACAAGCGAGCGAGTACGCGTGTGCGTGCGTGCGCTCGCTTAACAGCACTCGCCCCGACAGTCTGTTAGAGGCTATATGGGGGATCTTTGTCTTTGTGTGCGCGCACGTGCGGTGAACGGTAAGTGAGGTGGTTCGCGTGCCGCTGCGCTACGAACCCGCTCACCCGAGTTTGACTCCCACTCGCAGCCAACATTGGTGACAAGTATATCTGAACCGGTCCTGGGCCATCCCATAGGTTCACTCAGCCATAAATGAGCACCTGGTGCAGTGTGAAACATCGGTACTGGGGAGACGTAGGCAGCCGGACGTGGTGTTGGACACCCACCCCCTCGTGTGCTCTGCCGGCCTTTCATAGGTGCTCGCTAACAGCACTTGCCCCAAAAGTCTGTTAAAGCTATACGGGGGATCTTTGTTGTTTGTGTCCATCTATACACACGGGGGTCATAGTGCACCGCGTGCAGTGCACTATGACCCCTGGCTGCCGGAATTAAAATCTCGACCACGGTTAACATCGCATTTTAATTGGACAGTATGTGTCTATGCGCATTTATAATACTGCAGAGGAGTGGCGGTGCAGTGGTCAGAGCACTGCACTATGAACCCAACGATCCGGGGGTGATTGCCGGCCAGGGCTAACATCAGTGGCGAGTGACATCCTAACAGATCCTGGGCTCCCGCTCCCCTCCCCGTCACCAACCCACGCTTGGCCAGAGTGGTGCGAGGTATCATCAGAAAGGCCCGATGACGGACACAGTGTGGTCGATACCTTAATCATCCAGCAGTGGATTGAGAATGGGCTGTACGTTATTATGATCATTGTTATGTTCACGTGCAATACTGTTCGCGCCCGGTATGCCTCCCCGTGCGTGCCCACGTGTGCTGCGTCCGTGCCCGTGCGTGTCCGGGCGTGCGTGTGTGGTGGAGGTGCCAACAATTTATCCTCCCCCCTATTCCCATCCCCAACCCCAGCGACCCGATGCATTGTCACGATTCAAGGTCACGGGTTCGGTTCAAGAATCGATGGGTTATTTCCCATTGCCGTCAATGGTAGCAGCCACTCGCGGAGCTACGTGGGTCATGTGTTTAACTTCTCTGGCACCGCACGTAGCCAACCGTGCGAATCAGAGGTGAGCCCTTAGCCCGTTACAAACCACGTGGATCCTACTTGCTGAAACAACTCGATGTGTGTGAGCGGAAGTAGCGTTTTTTGTTTCATTTAGAAGCATCGTTACACTCCGAATCTGTGTCCACGTTCGCTGTGCCGTCATTTTGCGTTGATGATATTTAAATCCTTCCAGGAAACGTTTGAACGTCAAAATTATATTTTCAGTCGCGCTGTTGATCAATTCCAGTTTTCTTTTTTAAGTCGTGCGAGAAACGAGAGCGCGGTGGCGTGGGGGGAGGGGGGTTGGGGAGAAACCGCACCGACGCATACTGCGAGGAGGTAACGGCCCATGCAGGTCCACACATTGCCTGTGCCTCCCGTTGCCGGCGGCACGCCTCGTAGCCCACCGAAGCCCGAGCCTCCGAGGTGCCGGATTGCGACACCGCGCCTGCCTCTGTGTGCGAGAGTGGCGTGGCTGTGCGCTGGCCACATGGGGGGAGGGTGGATGAGGGGGGGGGGTAGAGGACGTGGGGGGGGGGGAAGGTCCGTGAAGTGGGTACAAATGTACCGGTGCTCCATGCTCATGGTAGTGGGGGGGGGGGGGGTTGCCCATAAATATGACAATGTATTATTATTATTATTTGCATGCGAAGGCATCATGGGGTGGATGGAGCCCACATTCAACCCTCTCGTCAGGCGTGCCCCGTGCCCCGTGCGTCCTCCTGCTTGCCCGCACGCATTAACGCTCGCTCCTACCCCGTGGGTGCGTGCGTGACCCCCCCCCCCCCCCCCGCACAGGTGTACACGCTGGCGCGCGAGTACAGCATGAGGATCAAGCGGACTCGGCCGGTGACGGGCGCCAGGGAGGGCAGCGCCGAGGTGGCCCCGCTGCCCGCTGTGCTCGAGATGAGCGCGCACAACAGCGGCACAATAGGCAAGCTATGGCCGAGGCGGTGACCTCGTTTGTCGTTGCAATGCGGCCGTCCGTCATCGTCGTCGTCATCCGTCCGTTCGTCCGTCCGTCCGTCGTGGCAAAGCAATCGTAATCAGAACGGTAGCAATTGTAGTAATCAACGGCGATGGTAATCATCGTCGTCATCACAGAGCAATCGCCACCGTTGTCATCATACAGCTATCGCAGCTACCAACATTGTAATATTCGTTACGTGTCTATCTCCAGTCATCATCATCATTACAGTAAATGTCACTTTCATTATCACACAGTCATCATCACCATCATCAATACCATCATCATTTTCACTGTCCGCATAACACAGTCATCATAATTAGCATAATTATCATATTAATGTTAATAAGCATAACATCATTATCACAATCTTTGCGATAATTTTTTTTATTACAATCATTATCATAGTTGTCATCGTCGTCATAACAAATAACCATCAGCGTAACGATACTGTGATCACATTTATTTTCAGTTTTTGCCTTGTGTCTCGTTCTTCCCCAACGGCAGGCGCCAGGATGGCCGAGCACATGCACACGTACGGCCAGATCATCATCCGCGAGGGCATCGCGCTGCCCGCGCCGGCAGACCTCGACCCCCCGCCGCCCGCCGTCGCCGCGAGCGGGCGGCGTCGCCTGCCCGGCACGCCCCCCCCAACATCTCCCGCCCGCTCCCCGCTCCGCCGCCCCGACTCGTCTCCCGACCCCAACGGCTCGTCGCGCGCCGGCTCCCGTTCCTCGTCGTCAGCAACGCCGCCGTGTTCCCCCTCGCGCGCCGGGCTCCCCGCCGACGCGCCGGGCTGGCCCGTCGTGTGGGGCCTGCGCCTGCGCTACCAGGGCGGCGGCGGCGCCGGCGGCGGCGGCGACGGCGACGGAACCCGCGTGGTGTCGCCGGCCAAGTCGACGGGAAACTTGGCGACGGCGCGCGTGAAGTGGCGCGGGGACGCCGGGGGCTCTCCGGCGCCGGAGGGGCACGGACCTTCGGCCTGCTCCCTCCAGAAGCCGCGGATCTGGTCGTGGAATGGCCCCGACGCGGATTGGCGGGCGCCTCCCGGCGACGGCGGCGTGCAGCGGCCCGGGGGGGCGGCGGCGGCGGCGTTCGACCGCTGTGTCGCGGCGCCGCTGGGGCCACGCAGGGCCAAGGAGAACTACCATCGCAACTTCGTCGACAATGACGACGACAGCGAGGACTACGTGGAGATCCGATCGCCCGACCTATCGGGGCCCCAGGCCGTCGGCACGGCAGCAAAGGCCCCGCGGGCCGCCGAGACCGGCGGGGGGGACGAGCGGACGCGGAGCGAGGGGCGGAGCGCCGGAGACGGCGGGAAACGGGCGCCGGCCGTGCCGGGACACAAGGCCCAGGGCTCCTCGGAGCGGAGCCTGGTGCGGAAGCTGAAGGAGAGGTTTCAGCCGCTGAGCTATCAGAGCCACGCGTAACTGCGGGGGGGGGGGGGGGGGGGCTGGGGGAGGGGCGGTCGAGAGCCTGGAATAGGGCGGCACCTGCGATGTGAATTCCCATGAATACGGCTGAGCGGTTTCGGGGGACGTCTGCATCGGCGCGCGCACGAACATCGTCGCGCGCGCGTCGGGGGCTGAACGGAGGCGGCAGGAACAAACGGTGTGCGAGCGCGCGTTGTTGTCGCTATAATTTAATTAACTTACAAATGCAAGGGGTGCGCAGTCTTAAAGGGTAAGGGAAATTAAAGCACATGTCTTAACGAACTTTATAACACCCGTACAAACGCCAGATACTTTTGACCGCACGCTAACGGGCGCGGCATTTGGTGAAGTGGCAAGGAGCCGTCGCACAAAATTGAGCGGCCTGGTAAGGTCGCGCGGTTGCCTCGAGCGAAGCGTGCCATGTGAACACGAACGAGGGTTGCGCGTTGACGGGACCTAGCGTCGTCGGCGTGCGGTTCTGTGACCACGTGAACCCGTCCGGCACTCTTATTTTTTTTTCCGTACGGAGTGGCTTCGTAAAGTTTTCCATCGCAGCGGGGAATGACTCCGCCGAGCATGAAAGCTGGGTTCTCGAAAATGAGGCAATTTAAAATTCATCATCTCAGCTAGCAGACGGGAAATTAATTTCTAACGGTCTTTGTAATGTTGTTGAATTATGCAATAGTGTACACAAAGGAAAGGAGAGTTCAATTACCAATTGAGAATGTACTGTGTTGTTCCCATTTTTGAAGAGCAATTTTTACGTTGGTGTTATAGCATAATTTGCCTGTGCCTTAATTGAATGCCAAATGCACTTGTACGCACGTTAAGTGTACGTGTGTGTGCACGCGCGCACGAAGAAAACAATGTCAACATGTACACACACCACACATAACACACGCGCAGGAGGAGGGAATTGTTTGTTTTCATGTCCGATTACCGATTGCGCAGAGCCACGTGAAATAACATCGTCTGCGCCGATGCGAACCGGTAATCGTTTTTCTGGAGTCATCAACCCTCGATGTACGCGGGCTAATCGCACGCGGCGGGCGGGAGGGGTACGGGAAAGGTTTTGGGGGGGAGGGTGGTGGTGATCCGCTAACTCTTGCCTGCCGTTGCTCTCTGTGCACGAGCTTTCCGCGTGGGCGGTGCGTCGCTTACCCTCGTAAGTGTGCGGCGCACGAAGCCACGACTTTTGCTTGACCACCCACCCCTGCACCCACCTGTGTGAGAGTCGTGTGTGTCGGTGTGTGTGTGTGTGTTTGTCTGCGCAGGAGTGATAGCGCAGCAGTGTGCGTGCCGCGCTACAAACCCGGCAAACCGAGTTCGATTCCTTGCACGTGGAAAACACCAGTGACCCAGTTTCTGAACTGGTCCCGGACCTCCCATAGGTTGACACAGCCTCAAATGAGCACGTGGTGTGTAAACATCGCCACTGGGGAGGCAGGCGTTCGGGCGTGGTGCTGTGGCCACCCACCCCCTCGTGTACCGTGCCGGCTTGCGTAGGTGCTCGCTAACAGCACTTGCCCCTCGAGTCTGTTAAGGCTCTACGGGGGTACTTTGCTTTTGTGCATCCCTGTGCAACCGTTGGACGAACGGCGCAACTGCGACACAGCTTGACACGACGAGCTATGAAGCTATTTCTCACAGATGCAAAGTTGTAGACACCGTTGTTCAAATATTGGCCCGTGATGCTCAACAACAGTGCTGGCACGTGGTATCAGAACCTGGCCTGGGCCTCCCGGAGCTTATCATAAAAGAATCAACCACTTCCAGCCCTTGTTCAGTCCTTGCTTCATCAATAGATCTTTAGTGTGTGTGTGCGTGTGTTGGGCCACGTACTGGATTTCGACCAAATTTGCTTCGTGAAAATTCTCCACCGAGCCGACGCAGCCGGACAAAAGTGAGATCGCGCCGCGCGGTGTCACGAGCATTTTTTGTTGTTTGCCAACGCGACCCCCGGCCCGTCTACACGCATCGGCTCGCGGGCAAGTCGAAGAAACGCTTCTTCTCACCCCCGTGTTGGTGGCTGTTTGACCATACCTGGTCAACCACGACGGTGTCTGTGTGGGGTTGGAGAGAAGTCGGCGCCGGGGGGGGGGCAGGGCCGGCGGGTGGTGGTGGTGGGCAGTCGTGGCTTGGGATCGAACTCGGGTTCAGTCGGGGTCGGAGTTGCAGTGCGTTCAGCCGCTGCGTCCAATCACCTCCCAAAGGGGTCATCTGCACGACAACGGGAGGCCTGGTGGGAGTTTGTTAATGTCGGCACTGGTGAGGTGGCACTATGTTTCTCCTGGTCGATCTGCCTTCCTGGCCCACGCCACCCTGCTAACAGCATGATTCCACGATTGTTATAGGTGGCTGACCTGGGTGTCTGTATAAGTTTATATCTGCGTACGTGTGATGCTCGCTAACGGCACTTGCCCCGACAGTCCAAGTGCAGACTTACAGGTGGATCTCTTTGTCTGTGTGTACGTGCACGTGTGTGTGTGTGCGCACGTGTGTGTGTGTGTGCGCACGTGTGTGTGAGTGTGTATGTGAGAGCTCGTGTTATTTTCTGAATGCACTTTTCAAACCGGGTAGCTAGCATTTGTAAAAATAAAAATCACGTGTTTTTTTTTTGGCAAAATGAAGTTGTATTTCACGCTGATGAGCATCAATTCCAAGTCGACCATTCCTTTATTTTTTTTTATTTTCTAAACAACATTCATTTGCCCGAGGCTGTGCTTTTTATGTTGTTGCTGCTGCTGCTGCTTCCGAGACTGTAAATAATAAACAATGCACAATTGAAGCTCGTGATTGTGTTGGTGCGTTTGTGGGGTTTTTTGGGGTATTTTTTTCTCAAATCGGTTCATTGGCATTGGCTACGAACACCGACGTTTTCACTTTTTAATGAGTCGGTATCCAAAATTTATGTTTGTGTTGAACCAGGGGTACCATAGCCTGGATGGGAGCGCTCTTGCCAAGTACATCTGGTCACGCAGCAGCAGCATTTGTTTAACAAATCTGGCTGCTGATGAGACCCACAAAGTCAAAACTGGCCCACAGTTTGCTAAGTCAGTATATATGCTATGGACTAAAACACAGAGTTAAATGTGGAGGCACTGATTGAAGTTATATCACCATTCACCCGCGGGTCGTTTGGCATTTCTGAATATTAATTTGCGCCGCGCTTAAGATCCTTGCTGTGCCTGCCCTTGGAGCAGAGAGTTTCTTCAAAATGCTGGTGGGATGAGAAGGGGAGGAGCGGTGTGGTTCGATTGGGTTCACCGTCACCCATCGCTCAGCGAAAATAGCCCTGGACATAGAGAGAGACTTTATATATGTTTATTCACCAGCGGCAAATTGCCCTGGAATTTTTCAATATTCAAGCCCTCATGGCGACACCAAAAAGCACAGCTCACCATCCCACCGCCGCTCCGCGACGCGCAACGCCAGCACCACAATCCCCACGCACCGGCTGCGCAACAGCATCCGACGCGCTGTGTCATTTCGAGCTTTGGCACCTCTTTGCTTGGCAGGGCCCCCCCGCTTATTCCACACTTCCTCCCCTGATGGTTCGAGGTCACAGTCATCGGTAACATCACCACCGCTAGATAACGCGGCCCGTGCGCCACGCCACCGCGCGAGCCACACCGCCACGTGCACATTCATCCATGTCATGTGTGCCACACCGCTGCGCGCGCACCACCGCCCCTCGAGATTCCTGCGACACGTGTGTCACACCACCGCGTGCACCATACTGCGACGCGCACGTCATGCCGCAGGTACGCATGCCACAACGTCCTGCGCCACATCGAGAGAGAGAACAAGAGAGACTAAAATCGGGGAAAGGAGAAAAAAAAACCCAACTGGATTGTGGTCTATCACTGACCACCGCCTACGTGCAGGTGCGCGTGCCCATTATGGGACTCGCGTGAAACACGGAGGCATCAGGTCAGCCTCGGAACTTTAATTTCATTTATTTTTCCGCGAAAATGTCAGAGTTGTCACCGCGAAGTAAGGTTATATAACTACATGCACAAAGGTTCCGCTTGAGGTTAGACGCAACCCCCCCAACCCCCACCAGGCGCCCCACGACTTTTTTTTTCCCATTTCGCGAACAGAATTTAATGTTTGTTCTGCCGAGATGTTCAGTGGCCCTGACTCCGTCGCTCGGAACTATGCGCGCGCGTAACTCTATACATGTACGGTGTATGGAATTACACGGCTCCGGCTTGATGTTTCTATCGCAAAGAGGGCAACGAAATATTTAACATTATTATTATTATTCCACCATAAGGCGGGCGGGTCGTGGGGTTCATACCGTGGCTGGGCCCAGACAAGCCATTCATCCTTCGGATCTCATAAAGGTGACCCGGCTACCGTGTTAAGTCAACATTGGGCCGAGCTTTGGGATCTAGTGGCACTTGTCACGTGAGAGAGTGAAATTCTCACCGATGGCTCGAGAGTCGGCAATGGTAAATTTAGTAGATTTAACAGATTCAGTAGATTCTTAACAGTTGTTTGAGATTGAAGGGGGGTGGGGGGGGGCTCGTTACTGTAATTCTCACGACCGTATTCGCGGGTGTGCATCACGCGTTCTCTCCGACTACTTTAAATCTAATACCGTCAGGAGTGTGTCTTCTGATAATCTGCGTGACCACGTTTGTATGAATCGCTTCTTTTTTTTATTAGGACACAAGGAACGGGGTGCGACTTTTACTTTCAGGAGGGTCTCATAATCCGCAGACTGCGGGTACAATTTAAACCGCGGCGAAAGCCCACTTGTACAATTATTGTAGCATGTTGCGAACACACCATTTACGCAAATAATCTTTCCTACACGTGTGTGTGTGTGGATCGGTGTTGCGTCACCGCTGTGTAATCTAATGCATATAGATGAGCACGACTGAATGAACGATGTATATTCTAATGATGTTCTTATTTAATGGCTGCAGAGCTGACATTTGGCACAGATATCGTAAAGCCTATGCTTTTTAACCAGAGCAACAACAACAACTCTGAAATGCACAATTGTCAAATTTGGGCACCGATCAAAATCGACGGCCCCTTGACGCCAGGGTGAGACCCTCAATCCTGCGGTGCTGTTTTTAATGGGGTCAATAAGACCCCTCCCCACACACACCACCCGGCCACTAGAGGCCGCTAGATTTACCATAATGTAAACATATCATGGAATCGCGGTAATTCAATGAACCGTCGAGGAGATTCATTGTTACACCCCTTACAACTGATATTACAGCAGCAATGGACGTTCACTGGGCACCATGCCATGAACCGCCGCCCACCCGAGTTTGATTCCAGGCCCACGGTATTGAGGCCCCCACGACCCCTCCACCTTGCCAACACTTCGCCAAACCCGCACTGAACCGCCGGCGAAGTACGTTCAAACAAACCCAGCGCGACCCACCCCGCGAACGACGAGGCGCTGTCTTGTGCATTACGTTATGTAAATGTGTGGCCGTATTTATAGTGGCCATTAATGCAATTCGGTTGTTCGCGCAAATTGAGCGGCGCAGACGGAGTGCGACTGTGACGCTAATTAAATCCACGTGTGCCAGAAAAAAAAACCGCGTGCGCGGCCCATCACAGTAACCAACACCCCCGTCTCTAAGTCCACGTGGCATTCATTTCATCTCCTCCCCTAGCCCAGCTTCTCATCCCGCCCCACCCCCCGCGCGAAGTTCAATTCGTGCTCTTCTTAACCTGGGGTGCACGCGAACCCTTTGGGGGTGCGAGACGCCCTTTTTGGGAGTGCGAGACGTGGCCAGATGTCTTTAGAAGGTAAATCGCCGAAACGACACGTTAAGTACGGGCACGTAAGTCCAACTAACTTTGTTTCGTCAAACCCAATGTGTGCATTAACATTGTACACGTGTTAACGATTGGAAACCAAAGGGGTGCCCAGGCTGCAAGTAAAGGTGCAGAACCACCGGCCTGAACAAATGAATTTCATCGTTCAGACCCTCGGAAGCCTCAACGCGGGATTTTGAGCCTGGCCAAAGTTTGGGATGGGTGACCATGGCCAGGGGTCGACACCAGAGACGCAATAGACGACGGAGACAGGAGAGGGCAGTGCAGCGACAAACCAATTGCTCTGCACCCCCCCCCCCTCCTCTTCCTAGCCCCCCACCCCGACCTACCTTTATCAACTAGCGCTGACAAGCGGGTGGTAAAGTATGGGCAAATTTCCCCCACGCACCACGCGGCGTCGACTAACAAAAAGGGGATGTCTGTCCATGTTCTCATTCGGCAAACTAAAAAAATCCACAATCAAGGCGTGCCACGTGCCCGTAATTCGTGGTATTGCCATCAGTTATGGTCTATCCACCGCTGGATGAAGGCCCCCCCCCCCAAAAAAAAACGTTTCCATCTCTCAAGATCCTGCGACGCAACGATGCACAGATCATCACGTGCCCCATCTCCTCGGTGGCCGTCGCCTCGGACGCGTTTAATCCCTCGGATGACACTCCGTCACTGTTCTCATCCCACGGCCCATCAATCATCCCGTCATGCGGTATGACCTGGGTAGTAATGGAGGGTTTTTGGGGGGAGTTAGATCGCGTAAATGTGTCGTTAAACCCGCCACCACCCGACACAGCCAATTAGTGAGGTTTGTCACGTACACAGAACGTGCCAATTTGTTACTAGTTCAGCACACCGGTGTGTTGGAGAGTAAGCCCACAACATCTACACAACATATACACTTTGAAGATGTAGATGTTGTGGGTTTACTCTTCAACACACCCAATAACCTCTATTATGGACAATATCGGTCTCGAAAGTCTGTGTGTTAAACTGACCTGGGTAGTAATAGTAGTTAGTGGCAGTTGTATTCAGTGCCATCCGGGGGGAGCTGCGAGCCCCTGGGAAAATCACGTGTGCCCCCCACCCCCCACCCCACCGACTCCGTCAACCTAAACCAGAAGTATGACATCTGACACCGTGATGTCGAATCGCGGGGCCTCCCAAAGCGCGGGGCCCGGGGCAGTCGCTCCGATTTTGTCGTACCCTCTTGATGGCCTTGGCTGTATTTACCTTTCGTCCGAATGTTTGGCAAAAAAAAACATTCTCACTGCCAACCACCCTCACCCCTCCCACCCACCCCGCCCTCACTGCTCCACCCCCACCCTCACCCCGTGACCCTTCACCAACTCACGCCGCTCAGCAGCAGCAGCAGCGGCGTGGATGAAGTCAGATGTCAACAAACATCCACTACCAACGCGGCGTGGAGAGCGGATTGAGAAATGGATGCATCTCATATGACGTATTCGCTATGAAGAAGGGCCATTGCCCGAAACGTCGCCGATTAAATCTGTCTATTCCCCCCCCCCCCCTTTAAAGCCACCACCAGTGTTGGTGACGCACGTGTTGGGTTTTGTTTAATTTTATTGTCCCGTGAATTTTGCACCGCTGCCGAACTCAGCAGCAGCATCCGAAGGTAATGCAAAAGCACGCTGTAGCGTATGTCTACGTAGAGGAGCAGATTGTAGGTTGTGTTTCACTTACCCACACTGACCAACGCAGGGAAGTATGCTTAAAATAACGATCGCGACGGTGCAGTGGAAACATTTTTCGTTGTGCATTCTCCAACGTTGTTGACGTACGCTGAAGGTCAAATGTATCCTGCAGTGCACTTCGATTAATTAGTTGCGACGAGGCCAAAGGAGGGGACGTCCACGAAGGAGATGGAGCGATGAATGTCATCTCTCGTGCAGATGCCGGTGGACAGCTTGGGGAGGCATTCATCCAGCAGTGGATTTGCCGTGGCTGATGGTGAACAACGCGGCTGACTCGCACGTGAACGCGGCGCGTGTGCGTGGAGATTAAAGCGCAGTGGGGAGCGGCGGTGCAGCGGTTAGCGCGCGCGCTGCGCTACGAACCCGGCTACACGAGTTCGATTTTCGCGCGCGGACAACACCAACGCCAATTATCTGAAACGCTATTGCGTCTCCCCTAGGTCGGCTCAGCCTTAAATGGATATCTGGTGCGGTGTGTAATAATCGCCACTGGAGAGACCACCCACCACCTCGTGTACCGTTTCGGCCTTTATAGTGCTCGCTAACAGCACTTGCCCCAACAGTCTTTTAAAGGCTATACGGGGGGTCTTTGTCTTATAGTCAAGTGCACGCCACTCCATGGATGTATTCATTATACATGCTCTTGTCCGCTGAATAAATAATTGAGCGAGCGTGTCGGGGCCCTATCTAAACGCATGTCAATTCATATAGTTTAGGACAATGTGATGAAATTCGTCTTATCTGATGTTTGGCTCGAGGGGACAATAGCCATCGTTTAGGCTCCCCCAGCCTCTCCCCCGCCACCTCCCATCCTCCTGCTCCTCCTCCCCACCACCACCTCTGAGAATCCACTCCCTCTGATCCCCCTCCTCCCACTTCTCTGCTCCCCCAGCGCCTCCCCCCCACCACCACCACCATCCTGCCAATCCTGGGGGCTGCGTGAAACAAACTCTGGGAGCCCGCATCGCTCGCGCGCATTTGGGGATGGAGTTTGGTTGTCGGAACCGCCACGGTGTGTCCAGGTCTCTAGCGCAACCAGCGTCGATAGCCCCACGCGCGCACACGGGCGCTAGCGCCGCACGCTTCGATCAGCGAACGCCACCGGTTAATATTCGACGGCGAATTCGGCGAGAATTGAGATACGGGTGCGTACGATTATATCATTTGTACGGGAAGGAGGCTAAACGCAGTTCTGCGCGGGGCGCGTAAGAGACAGCGAGACGGATGAGAGAACTTCGCCTAAGAATCGGTATTGTGAGCCAAATCGCGGGTCATAATTAATGACGATTGGTAGCAAATACAACAATCGTGGGGTAATGTGAGCGTGCTGCAACGTTAGCTGGCTTGGCTGGGCTGTCGATCGCATCGGGACGGACACGGCGCGCTCTCTGGCCGTTGTGATATCGAACAGAAGCAGATTTCCCAACTTGGCCTCCAAGCGTTAATTAGCAGGTTATTTATCGGCGCAATTTTATGCGCGCGCGCGTGCGTGTATGTGTGTGCGCGTGTGTGTGTGTGTGTGTTCGCGTGTGTGTGTGTGCGCGCGCGTGTGTGTGTGTGCGCGTGTGTGTGCGCGTGTGTGTGTTCGCGTGTGTGTGTGTGCGCGCGCGTGTGTGTGTGTGCGCGTGTGTGTGTGTGTGTGTGCGCGCGCGTGTGTGTGCGCGCGTGTGTGTATGTGTGTGCGCGCGCGTGCGTGTGTGTGTGTGTGTGCGCGTGCGTGTGTGTGTGTGCGCGCGTGTGTGTGTGTGCGCGCGCGTGTGTGTGTGTGCGCGCGCGTGTGTGTGCGCGCGTGTGTGTATGTGTGTGCGCGCGCGTGCGTGTATGTGTATGCGCGTGTGTGTGTGTGTGTGTGCGCGCGCGTGTGTGTGTGTGCGCGCGCGTGTATGTGTGTGCGCGCGCGTGTGTGTATGTGCGCGCGCGTGTGTGTGTGTGCGCGCGCGTGTATGTGTGTGCGCGTGCGTGTGTGTGTGCGCGCGCGCGTGTATGTGCTGTATATGTTGTGTGCGTGTGTATCTTTGCTGTGTATGCGAGTGGGGAGCGGTAGCGTAGTGGAGAGCGCGCGCACTGCGCTGCGAACCCGGCGACTCGAACTCGTTCGGTTCCCGCTCTCATGGCCCTCCCCTAGGTCGATTCAGCCTTAAATGGGTACCTGACGCGGTGGGTAGACATCGCCACTGGGGAGACAAAGGCGGCCGGGCGTGGTGCTGTCCACCCCACCCCTCTTGTGCCATGTCGGCATTCATAGGTGCTCGCTAACAGCACTTTCCCAATAGCCCGTCAAGGCTATACGGGTGATCTTTGTCTATTCGTGTGCACTTGTGTTGCGTGCGTGCGTGTTGTGTGTTTATCCGTTGTGCGTGCGTGTTGTGTGTATGTGTGTGTGCATCTGCTGTGTGTGTGTGTACGCGTGTGTGCGTGTATCATTCGCAGCTCTCAATTCGTGGCCCTCCGACAACGCCGTAACGGTTCGAGTGCAGTCAAGGGATCGTCCGCATCTCGCGAGGATCGAGTTTGAGTGAAGCCATCATCATAATCATCAACATCAGCATCATAATCATCACCATCAGCAACATCATCATCATCATCGTAAAGGGCAGCTTCTGACGTCGATCTCTACACGCGGGCATTTAAACGTGGACCGCTGCTCACAGACACGTGCCTCAACTTAATCTCTTACCTTTATCGCTTTGTCTTCTAAGCTACGATAGCCAGGTATTATTTGACACACGTCTAGAAAATACGTGCAAAACAACGGCGCTTGGGATAATCAGGGATATATGTGTGTGTGTGTGTACTGTGTGGCTGGCTAACTGCGGGGAGAGGCACTCGAGAAAATTTGCGTTAAATCTGTGCGCGGTTGTTATTTAAGCCGAGAGCTATCGCGCGTGGCGCACACACACACACACGCCGCTACACAACACCGCCACGCAGACAAAGACACCGACAACACAGCCTCGACACACCACGACCGACACGCTATCTCGTGAGACAAGGGAGAGAGAGAGAGACGGCTAAGAGAGGGAGAGATTAAGAGTAGGAGGTAGAGATAGAGAGACGGACAGGGAAGGAACCTCCATCGCCAGCACGAGCCTCGCGGCGCGCTTCTCGTTCACGCGCACCGCGCACAGCGCACACGCGCACAGTCTATCGTAGCGCGGCAGGAGGGGAGAGTGCGAGAAGGGGGGGGAGCTGAGAGAGCTGAGAGAGAGAGGAGAGAGGGAGGGTAGGAGAAAGGCACCACCAGCCACAACAGCAGCAGCAGCAGCTCGCGCGCGCGCGCGCATCACCCGTCCACTCCGCTCGCACCGCGCCACGCACAACACCCGACCATGAACTTCTTCCGTCTCTTCGAGAGGAAGAAAATGAGCTGCCCGGTGGCGACGCCTGCCAAGGGCAAGGCGACGGCCAAGGGAGGAGCGCCCAAGGCCCCCGAGCCGCGGAGCAAGGAGCCGGCCAAGGAGACGGCGCTTTCGCTCCCTACGCCTCCTCCACCACCGCCGCGCAGGCTGAGCGAAGACGAGCGGCGTATCGTGATCGAGTCGTGGAGAGCCTTGCAAGACGACATCACTCGGGTCGGGGTCATCCTGTTCGTAAGGTGCGAGTCGCGGCCACAACTCCCCCCTCCCTCGGTCACAAATCCCCGTGTCTTGCACGACCGGACGCTTTGCGCGGTCGCGAGCCGACTTCGTTTTTTGCCCACCCTCCCCAACCCCCACACCTCTACCCCCAGGTCGACTCAGCCTCAAATGAGTACCTGGTGCGGTGTGAAGGAGACAAAGGCGGTCGGGTGTGGTTGTTGCCCACCACCCCCCCTCCCCCCCGTGTGCCGATCCGGCTTTCAGAGGTGCTCGTTAACAGCACTTGCCCCAACACGTCTGTTGAGGCTACACGGGGGATCTTTGTCTTTATATATAGCTCTCCCATGTGTTGTTGGCGGTCGTTACCGTGTCTCGTTCAGCGTGATGTCAATCGCACGCGCACAGCAGCGCGGAACAAAGATAAGTGGCAGATACGAGGGGGATGAAGAAGGAGGTGGGGGACAGCTCCCTCCGATACGTTTACGGGTCATGCAGCGTGGCTGCTCCCAGTAAACGGTCCGACGTTTCGCTCCACGCGCTGAACAACAACAACAAAATGAATTGAATTTCGTGAAAAGAGTTGCTCGGCACGTGGCGCGAAACGTCGGACATCGGCAAAGACAAGGAACCGAACTGAGTCGCCGAAGAAGCTCACTCCCAGCGCGCGGAGCGAAACGTCGGACAACACGCTGAGAATGAACAACAACGGAGAACTGTCTCCCCGTAACTCATAATATCTCTTATCTCCGTCTTCCTTATCTACGCTTACTCTGCACGCGCGCGTGTATCTGTGCGCGTCTGTGTGTGTGTCTGTGTGTGTGTCTGTGTGTGTCTGTGTGTCTGTGTGTGTCTGTGCGCGTGTCTGTGTGTGTCTGTGTGTGTGTCTCTGTGTGTCTCTGTGTGTGTGTCTGTGTGTGTGTGTCTGTGTGTGTGTGTGTCTTTGTGTGTGTGTCTGTGTGTGTGTGTGTCTGTGTGTGTGTCTGTGTGTGTGTGTGTCTGTGTGTGCGTCTGTGTGTGTCTGTGTGTGTCTGTGTGTGTGTCTGTGTGTGTGTGTGTGTCTGTGTGTGTGTCTGTGTGTGTGTGTGTGTCTGTGTGTGTGTCTGTGTGTGGGGAGCGGTAGTGTAGCGGTTAGCGCGCTGCGCTATGAACCTGGCGACCCGGGTTCGATTCCCGCTCACGGCTAACACCAGTGACGATTATCTGAACCGGTCCTGGGCCTCCCTTAGGTCGACTCAGCCTTAAATGAGTACCTGGTGCGGTGTGTAAACATCGCCACTGGGGAGACAAAGGCGGTCGGGCGTGGTGCTGGCCACCCACCCCCTCGTGTACCGTTCCGGCCTTCATAGGTGCTCGCTAACAGCACTTGCCCCTACAGTCTGTTAAGGCTATACGGGGGATCTTTGATCTTTGTGTATTTATAGTGTGGGGAGCGGTAGTGTAGCGCTTAGCGCTACGAACCTGGCGACCTGGGTTCGATTCCCGCTCACGACCGACACCGGTTACGATTATCTGAACCGGTCCTGAGCCTCCCCTAGGTTGACTCAGCCTCATACCTGGTGCGATGTGTAAACATCGCCACTGGGGAGACAAAAGCGGCCGGGCGTGGTGCTGTCCACCTACCCTCTTGTGTGTCGTGCCGGCCTTAATAGGTGCTCGCTAACAGCACTTGCCCCAACAGTCTGTTACAGGCTATACGGGGGATCTTTTTCTTCTCTTTTGTTTTATTGTGTTAGGGGGGGGGTGAAGGGGGGGTAGAACTGTGACGCACTGCGTGACGAGGTCAGCCGCGTGGGTCCAATTCTCGACTCCGGGGCACCTCGTAAATTTGAACCTATTTTGTCTGGGTCACCCGTAGGTCGACTCGGCCTTAAATAAACGCCTGGCCACGTCGTGCATGAACATCGATATTGGGAAAGACCCATGTCGGCCGACGAGTGTCCGCTGGCTTACACGCCCACCGCACGAACGTAGGCCTACTCTTCCGACCTTAATAGGTGCTCGCTAACAACGACAACAACGACAACAACACGAGTCCCCCAGACAGCCCGTGTGGCCGTTGGAGTTGTCTCGGTTTGATTTTTTTTGGCAGCTGCACGTCATTAACAGACGCGCGCTGGCTTACAGCGCGAAAACCTCCCGAGGGTATCCGAGACGTTCGGCTAGGAGGGGGACGAATGGTTTTTTTGTGTGTGTCTTTGCGCGAGTACGTCTTCTTCATGATCTCTGCAGGGAGCCCGGGCAGCGTGGGTGGTTTAGCAACGATTGGGGCTTACGAGGTCCGACAGAACTAAGTTCGATTCGCGGTCAACGGTTTTTCAATTGGCAATCGGTGGCGATGATAATCTCACCCCGCGCACCCCGATCACGAGCCTCGCCTTTAAACGAGTTGGTTGGTGCCTGTTGCTGCAGTGTGTTGACGCCAGCGCTGGGGGGAGGGAGGAGGGGGGCGGAAGACAAAGGCGGCCGGGCGTGGCATTTACCGAGCAAATCCACCCCGCAACCCGCCTCGTGCGGCCGTGCCGGCCTTCGTAGGTGCTCGCTACTAACAGCACTTGCCCCAATAGTCTGTAGAACACCGTGCCGGGGGATCTTTATCTTTGCGTTTGCATCTCTGGTCACCTGCTGGTCACCTTGTAATGCCTAATCTGTCTCCTGCTTGTGGTGTTCCTGTTTGTATTATTCTATCGCCTCTACAACGATATTGTTTTTGCTGTTGTGCTATGTGCGTGTGTAACCGTGCCGGCCTTCATAGGTGCTCGCTACTAACAGCACTTGCCCCAACAGTCTGTTCAGGCTATACGGGGGCGGGGGGGACCTTTGTCTTTGTGTCTAAGCCACTCACTCAACATGCACCTCCGATTAGCACGGTTGGCTACGTACGGTGCGAAAGAAGTTCAACCTACATAAATGAACACAAACCCAGGCACGACAGCAAACATCCTTGAACCCATCTGTGCGGCGCGCGTCTCCTTACACGCAGCTTGTTTTGTCAAATCCACGGCTGGATGAGGCCCTCTCCCCACGCCTCGTGGGCCGCGAGAGATGTTTATTTATTTACCATACTTCACCACGCTGGTCAGTGCGGGTCGAGGCCTTCATCCAGCAGCAGAGAGATCATGGCTGATGATAAACGGATGACACAGCAGGGCACGTTTGAATGTGGTATACTTGCAGTATCTGCTGTGCCTAATTAAGTACCGAACATGCACAACCCCTGCTCAATCCACTGCTGGATGAAGGCCAAGCCGTGGGCTTAAAGAGGAGGGGGGGGTCATTTGACCATACTTCACCCCCCACGCGAGTGGGTTTTGTGCCACCGCAACGTAGCGCTGACGTTCGCCGTCTCACATTCGTAACAACAACAACAAAAAACCCTCTCCTGCACGGTGTCCATGCCGCCGCCGCAGAGCCTGCTTTTTGGACCCCACGTGCTTTGTGCGTGAACTCGACTCGGGGAGTTCACGCGCCTCCTCCTCCTCTCTCTCTGTGTTGCATGCGCGCCGCGTTGTTGATTGTCTCCAATAGTGGGGGGGGGGGGGGGGTGGAGAAGTCGTTTCGCCAGATTGAATCAAAGTGCAAATTTTCACTCTCCACGTCGGCGGTGACGTCGCTCTCTTCATCCGCACGAGACCGAGTCACGGCGTTTGTAGGGGCAGCACTGCGCGGGCTTTTTATCTCGTGAGTGCATCGGATGGGAAGGCGAAAGAGAGCGGTCAATTTAAACCTCATTGTCATAAAGACAAAGATCACCCGTATAGCCGACAACGGGATGTTGGGGCAAGTGCTGTTGGTGGCCTCAACTGTCTTCCCGGTGCCGATCTTTACACTTCGTTCCGCCTTCTCATGTTTAAGTCTGAGTCGACCTAGGGGAGGCCCACGTATGAAGGCTGGCACGGAAAACGAGGGTTTAGGGGGGCTAGCACCAAGCCTCGCCGCCTCTGTCTCCGTCGTGGAGATATGTACACATCGCATGAGGTACTTACCTAAAGGCTGAGTCGACCTAGGCGAAGCCCAGGACTGGTTCAGCTAATCGTCAGTGGGGTTGGTGGCCTTGAGCGGGAATCGAACTCAGGTGGCCGGGTTCGTAGCACGGTGCGTTATCCACCGCACAAACAACTGGCACGCGTGAACATAGCGGCCACGTGACATGCGCTTGCACACAGTGTCCATGTGCACGCAAAGATCCCTCCCGTATTGACTTCAATAGACTGTTGGGGCAAGTGCTGTTGGCGAGCGCCTAATGAATGAGGCCAGAACGGCACACGGGGGGGGGGGGGGGGGGCTGGTGGTGGCCAGCGCCGCGCACGCCAACGCGCGCACCGTGACGACGGGGGAAGGTTAAAGCGCAGCCCTGCAATTTCCCACTCGCGTCACTGCCGGCGGACGGACCTCCGCTAGAGGGAGCAGGGGCTGGTAACCTGCAGCGCCGAAGCCGCGCGCGGCTCTTGAAGGACTCGCTGACTTCGTGACGATGTTCATCCAGCACCACGCCCGTCCTTGATGTCACGTTGCCCTGGTGGTGGGGGGGAGGGGGTTATATCATCCGACTCTTCGGCACAGGACGAGTTGCCGTCTTATTTTCGAGCACAATTTAACTAAGAAACCAAAAAAAAATGCAGTCGTCAATAATACTGTGGCCTCACAAGGGAAAAATATAATCGACGACTTTTCATTGATTTGCCGTGAAGAAGGGCCATTGCCCGAAACGTCGCCTGTTTTCTATTTTTATTTTCCTCTCAAGGCCGCAGTGGTAGCCAACCGATTGGCACGGTTGGTGCGAAATATGCATCAACATCCATCCAAATGAGAGTTAGTCTCTTGATTTGCAAGAGGTGGACTCGTTCACCACATAACCGTGGCGTGAACACCCCGTGGGTGAACGTTGAGCGCGTGTGGAACCCTTTTCGCTTCCCGAGTGTCGTGTATGGGAACTTACCTTCGGTGGGGGGGGGGGGGGGGGGGACACACACACCGCACGTGGACACTTTCACGCTCGGTAACGTCGCGGCAACGTTGG